CCTAACACTCTCCAATGGGCTAAAGGTAAACAGGACGGATTGTGAAAGCAATGTCTCTGAAGAACCCTTTGTAAACGAATCTGACTCCTGACAGGTCTGTCTGCAATCACAGAGGAGTTCCAACACGTCTGAAATCAACGACCCCCCCTCACTGGTTCTTTCTGGACTATTGTGCACATTTTTAATTTTGGTTGTAGCAGAGCAAAGCTTTCTACCTGCTCAGTCATTACATGATCTGTAGAATGTGGTGCTAGATCTTAGATGGAGGAAAGCAAATAAAAAACAAAGCTCACTTCACACACAAAACTGTGCTATAGGAACAATATACGGGGGTGTAATATGAAGGTACAATACACAGAGGGGGGGGAGAGGGGGTGTAATATGAAGGAACAATATGGGGGGGGGGTATAATACGAAGGAACAATATACAGGGGGTATAATACGAAGGAACAATATACAGGGGGTATAATACGAAGGAACAATATGGGGGGGGGGGTATAATATGAAGGAACAATATACAGGGGGGTATAATATGAAGGAATATATTGGGGGGGTATAATCTGAAGGAACAATATACGGGGAGGGGGGTATAATCTGAAGGAACAATATACGGGGGGGGGGTATAATCTGAAGGAACAATATACGGGGGGGGGGGGGTATAATCTGAAGGAACAATATACGGGGGGGGTATAATCTGAAGGAACAATATACGAGGGGGGGGGGGTATAATCTGAAGGAACAATATACGAGGGGGGGGGTATAATCTGAAGGAACAATATACGGGGGGGGGGGTATAATCTGAAGGAACAATATACGGGGGGGGGGGTATAATCTGAAGGAACAATATACGGGGGGGGGGTTATAATCTGAAGGAACAATATACGGGGGGGGGGGTATAATCTGAAGGAACAATATACGGGGGGGGGGGTATAATCTGAAGGAACAATATACGGGGGGGGGGTATAATCTGAAGGAACAATATACGGGGGGGGGGGTATAATCTGAAGGAACAATATACGGGGGGGGGGGGGTATAATCTGAAGGAACAATATACGGGGGGGGTATAATCTGAAGGAACAATATACGGGGGGGGGTATAATCTGAAGGAACAATATACAGGGGGGTATAATATGAAGGAATATATTGGGGGGTATAATCTGAAGGAACAATATACGGGGAGGGGGGTATAATCTGAAGGAACAATATACGGGGGGGGGTATAATCTGAAGGAACAATATACGGGGGGGGGGGGTATAATCTGAAGGAACAATATACGGGGGGGGGGGTATAATCTGAAGGAACAATATACGAGGGGGGGGGGGGTATAATCTGAAGGAACAATATACGAGGGGGGGGGTATAATCTGAAGGAACAATATACGGGGGGGGGTATAATCTGAAGGAACAATATACGGGGGGGGGGGTATAATCTGAAGGAACAATATACGGGGGGGGGGGGGGGTATAATCTGAAGGAACAATATACGGGGGGGGGGTATAATCTGAAGGAACAATATACGGGGGGGGGGTATAATCTGAAGGAACAATATACGGGGGGGGGGGGGGTATAATCTGAAGGAACAATATACGGGGGGGGGGTATAATCTGAAGGAACAATATACGGGGGGGGGGTATAATCTGAAGGAACAATATACGGGGGGGGGGTATAATCTGAAGGAACAATATACGGGGGGGGGGTATAATCTGAAGGAACGATATACGGGGGGTATAATCTGAAGGAACGATATACAGGGGGGGGTATAATATGAAGGAACAATATACAGGGGGGGTATAATATGAAGGAACAATATACGGGGGGGTATAATATGAAGGAACAATATACAGGGGGGGTATAATATGAAGGAACAATATACAGGGGGGGTATAATATGAAGGAACAATATACAGGGGGGGTATAATATGAAGGAACAATATACAGGGGGGGTATAATATGAAGGAACAATATACAGGGGGGGTATAATATGAAGGAACAATATACGGGGGGGGTATAGTATGAAGGAACAATATACGGGGGGGTATAGTATGAAGGAACAATATACGGGGGGGTATAATATGAAGGAACAATATACGGGGGGGGGTATAATATGAAGGAACAATATACGGGGGGGTATAATATGAAGGAACAATATACGGGGGGGGTATAATATGAAGGAACAATATACGGGGGGGGTATAATATGAAGGAACAATATACAGGGGGGGGTATAGTATGAAGGAACAATATACAGGGGGGGTATAGTATGAAGGAACAATATACAGGGGGGGTATAATATGAAGGAACAATATACAGGGGGGGTATAATATGAAGGAACAATATACAGGGGGGGTATAATATGAAGGAACAATATACAGGGGGGGTATAATATGAAGGAACAATATACAGGGGGGGTATAATATGAAGGAACAATATACAGGGGGGGGTATAATATGAAGGAACAATATACAGGGGGGGTATAATATGAAGGAACTATATACAGGGGGGGTATAATATGAAGGAACTATATACAGGGGGGGTATAATATGAAGGAACAATATACAGGGGGGGTATAATATGAAGGAACAATATACAGGGGGGGTAGAATATGAAGGAACAATATACAGGGGGGTAGAATATGAAGGAACAATATACAGGGGGGTAGAATATGAAGGAACAATATACAGGGGGGGGGTAGAATATGAAGGAACAATATACAGGGGGGGTATAGTATGAAGGAACAATATACAGGGGGGGGTATAGTATGAAGGAACAATATACAGGGGGGGTTATAATATGAAGGAACAATATATTGGGGGTATAATATGAAGGAATATATTGGGGGGTATAATATGAAGGAACAATATACAGGGGGGGTATAGTATGAAGGAATATATTGGGGGGTATAATATGAAGGAACAATATACAGGGGGGGTATAATATGAAGGAACAATATACAGGGGGGGTATAATATGAAGGAACAATATACAGGGGGGTATAATATGAAGGGAACAATATACAGGGGGGGTATAATATGAAGGAACAATATACAGGGGGGGTATAATATGAAGGAACAATATACAGGGGGGGTATAATATGAAGGAACAACAATATACAGGGGGGGTATAATATGAAGGAACAATATACAGGGGGGGTATAATATGAAGGAACAATATACAGGGGGGTATAATATGAAGGAACAATATACAGGGGGGTTATAATATGAAGGAACAATATATTGGGGGGTATAATATGAAGGAACAATATATTGGGGGGTATAATATGAAGGAACAATATATAGGGGGGGTATAATATGAAGGAATATACAGGGGGGGTATAATATGAAGGAACAATATACAGGGGGGGTATAATATGAAGGAACAATATATTGGGGGGTATAATATGAAGGAACAATATATTGGGGGTATAGTATGAAGGAACAATATATTGGGGGGTATAATATGAAGGAACAATATATTGGGGGTATAGTATGAAGGAACAATATATTGGGGGTATAATATGAAGGAACAATATATTGGGGGGTATAATATGAAGGAACTATATATTGGGGGGTATAATATGAAGGAACAATATATTGGGGGGTATAATATGAAGGAACAATATATTGGGGGTATAATATGAAGGAACAATATATTGGGGGGTATAATATGAAGGAACTATATATTGGGGGGTATAATATGAAGGAACAATATATTGGGGGGTATAATATGAAGGAACAATATATTGGGGGGTATAATACTTCCTCAGCCGGCAGGACACGATTACTTCTAGTGGATGTAGCCATTGGCAGTAATCAGGTTGGTTGTATCGAAGTCAATTGATGGATCCACCATAGATGGACTGATGATGATCTCGGTGGTCCCAGCTGAACGGGCTGAGATTCGATCCTCCACACAGGGGGAGGGTATGATGACATACTGTATGGACAATGTATACAGATGGGGTCTGCACACTGACCATGGATGGCACTGACCTCACACACCAGTAAAATAAGGGGGGGGGGGGGGGGCGGGTATACAGGTGAAACTCAAAAAATTAGAATATTGTGCAAAAGTTCATTTATTTCAGTGCAGCAACTTAAAAGGTGAAACTAATATATGAGATATATATATGAAGGGGGGGAGTATATATGAAGGGGGGGAGTATATATGAAGGGGGGTGTATATATGAAGGGGGGTGTATATATGAAGGGGGGTGTATATATGAAGGCGGGGGAGAAGGGGGGGGTGTATATATGAAGGGGCCGGGGGAGAAGGGGGGGGTGTATATATGAAGGCGGGGGAGAAGGGAGGTGTATATATGAAGGCGGGGGAGAAGGGGGGGGTATATATAAAGGCGGGGGAGAAGGGGGGGAGGGAGTATATATGAAGGCGGGGGAGAAGGGGGGGTGTATATATGAAGGCGGGGGAGAAGGGGGGTGTATATATGAAGGCGGGGGGGGGAGAAGGGGGGGGGTGTATATATGAAAGGGGGGGTGTATATGAGAAGGCGTGGGGGGGGAGAAGGGGGGGTGTATATATGAAGGCGGGGGAGAAGGGGGGGGTGTATATGAGAAGGGGGGGGAGAAGGGGGGGTGTATATATGAAGGTGGGGGAGAAGGGGGGGTGTATATATGAAGGGGGGGAGAAGGGGGGGAGTATATATGAAGGCGGGGGAGAAGGGGGGGGTGTATATATGAAAGGGGGGTGTTATATATGAAGGGGGGGGTGTATATATGAAGGCGGGGGGGAGAAGGGGGGTGTATATATGAAAGGGGGGTGTATATATGAAGGTGGAGGGTGTATATATGAAGGGGGGGTGTATATATGAAGGGGGGGTGTGTATATATGAAGGCGGGGGAGAAGGGGGGTGTATATATGAAGGTGGAGGGTTGTATATATGAAGGGGGGGTGTATATATGAAGGTGGGGGGTGTATATATGAAGGGGGGGGGTGTATATATGAAGGGGGGGGGTGTATATATGAAGGGGGGGGTGTAGTATATCTCACCTGCTCTTCTCCCCGGCGGTCCCGCTGGTCGGTAGGCTGAGGGACGGCACTATCCTCCCGGTGGAGGGGGCGGGGGTGTCGGGTAGTCCGTTGTCCCGGGACAGGACGATACGGGGCCCGTTGGTGGGCGGTATCCGGGGGGGGGGACGGCTCGGGGTTCTCCCATGACTGAGGCGGACACAGCGGCCTCCCGTCCAGGGAGATGTTATTGAGGAAGAAGAGCGCCGCCTGCCTCCTCCGGGAGTCGCTGCCTTTCTTCCTCCGCTGGCTCAGCTCCCCGGGGCCCGGCACACCGGGAGAGCCGCAGGTTGCCGCGGCCATTCTCTGACAGAGGCCCCGGACCGGGGAACGGCCCGCCCGCCGCCGCTCCGCCCACCCGCGTTTCCCATTGGCTGGTGCCAGGGTACCGGCGAGCAAGCTCAGCTGCGGTTGGCTGAGGCCGCCGCCTATCACACCAGAAACCAAATAGGGCGGGGCGATAGAGCAGGAAGGTCACATGTCACCCGAGGACACACGTCTGTGGAAGTGGTGACGTCACGGCCAGCCTCTTTTGTATACAATGTATCCATCTGTATCACTCATCATAGGAATAGAGAGAAATAACGCCTCCTGGTACCCATGGCAGCCAATCAGCGTCCTCTATCATATTATGGAGCCTGCTGGGATCTGTCATTAGATATAGGATTGCTGGGACACCCCAGTCACATGACACCCCTCACATCATTCAGGGTACACTATAGAGCAGTGGTGGCAAACCGTGGGCACGCAGAGTCCTCTCTGTTGCCACACAAGCCCCGTGGCCCCAGTAGCCGAGCATAGGGTAACAGCGTACATAGGGGCCAAACACCTCCCAGCCCTTTAAGGGTTCTAAAAGCTGGGATGTGGGTCTTCGCATCATGTGACTTCTGTGATTGGCTGTCACAGTGCTCACATGATCAGAATGCTAATGCACCAGGATCTTACCAATCCCAGCCGGCTAGCATGGTGGGAGGGAGCGCCCTCTCAGCATGGTAAATTGTTATTAACAGGGACGCATATATGCGTACAGCCGGCACCAACAGGCTACAATTTGCTGGAGGGTCTGATTGCTACTATGAAGTAAGCCTGACCTTGACCCCAAGACCAACTTCACCCCCCCCCCCTTTGCTTTTTTCCAACATTCACTTAGCCATTCCCCTTTTTTCAAGGGACAAGAAGCTGTTTCATGGCCAGGCGTGGGCTACTCCTTCATTAGTTCTTCATCAATTAAGCAGGGTAAAAGGTCTGGAGTTGATTCTAAGTGTGGTATTTGCATTTGGAATCTATTGCTGAGAACCTACATCATGTGTACAAAGGAGCTGTCCATGCAAGTGAAACAGGCCATTGTAAGGCTTCAAAAACGAAACAAATCCATCAGAGAGATCGCAGAAACATTAGGAGCGGCCAAATCAACAGTTTGGCACATTGTAAGGAAAGAAGAACGCACTGGTGAGCTCAGCAACATAAAAAGGCATGGACGTCCACGGAAGACAACAGTGGTGGATGATCCCAGGATCCTCTGTATGGTAAAAACCCATTCACAACATCCAGACAAGTGAAGGACACTCTCCTGGAGGTGGGTGTATCATTGTCATAGTCTACAATCAAGAGAAGACTTCACGAGAGCAAATACAGAGGGTTCACCACAAGGTGCAATCACAGAGGGTTCACCACAAGCTGCAAACCATTCATAAGCCTGAAGAATAGAAAAGCCAGATTAGACTTTGCCAAAAAAAACATCTAAAAAAGCCGGACCAGTTCTGGAAATCATTCTTTGGACGGATGAAACTAAGATGAATCTACCAGCATGACGGGAAGAAAAGTGTGGTGAAGGGTTGGAACAGTTCATGATCCAAAGCACACAACATCATCTGTAAAACATGGTGGAGGCAGTGTGATGGCATGGGCATGCATGGCTTCCAGTGGCACTGGGTCATTGGTGTTTATTGATGATGTGACAGAAGATAGAAGCTGCCGGATGAATTCTGCCGTGTTTACAGATATACTGTCAGCCCAGATTCAGCTAAATGCAGCAAAGGTGATTGGACGGCACGTCACAGTACAGATGGACAATGATCCAAAACACACTGCAAAAGCAACCCAGGAGCTTTTGAAGGAAAAGAAGTGGAATATTCTGCAATGGCTGAGTCAATCACCTGATCTCAACTCAACTGAGCATGCATTTCACTTGCTGAAGGCAAAACTAAAGGCAGAAAGACCCACAAACAAAGAATAAACGAAGACAGCTGCAGTTAGAGCCTGGCAAAGCATCAATACGGAGGAAACCCAGTCTTTGGTGATGTCCATGGGTTCCAGACTTCAGGCAGTCATTGCCAGTAAAGGATTCTCAACAAAATATTACAAATAAACATTTTATTTACGATTATATTCATTTGTCCAATTACTTTTGCCCCTTGTAAAGGTGGGATGGCTACTCTTAAGAGCTGTAATTTCTAAACCCTTCCTCCAATCTGGATGTACATCCCCTCAAATGAAACCTGAGAGTTTGCACTGTGTGCCCATATCCATTATATAACTATAGCTGGAATATGTTTTGGTAAATACCTGAAAAAATCTAAAATTGTGCCTGTGACCAAATATATATGGACCTAACTGTACATACTGATACATATAATATACTGAACCACACCTATAAATACATGTAATATACTATATATCCAAATATAGAAGCTCTTATATTAGGCTCAATCTAAACTCCCAACACCAAACATATACACAAAGGGGGTTATTTACAAAAACTGGAGAGTGAAAAATCTGGTGCGGCTCTGCATTGAAAACAGCTTCCAGGTATTATTGTCAAAGCTTAAAGTGCTACTAAACCCACAAAAGTACAATCAGTCTGTATATGCAGTAAAAGATGCTTGTTATACTCACTGTGGGACCTAAGGGGTTAACCCTCTGCATTGTGTAAAAAGGTTGTTTGATCCTGTCTTCTCTGATCCTCCCCTTCTACTGTCCTCAATCCATCTGCTGATAGTACAGAGCTCTAGGAGACACTCTGCACAGTTTAGTGTATATAGCAAGGGAGCTTTATTTTGGGGGGGGGGCGGAGAGTGCATGTGATCAGCACAGGGCCAATCAACGTTGTCCAGAGGGTCAGAGGTTATGCAGCATCATGGGAAAGTCAGAGGAGAATGAAATCTCCTCCTACAAGCTTTAACCAGTGCTCAGCTGGACACTGATAGGAGTCACAAGACTGCTCTAATTGCTGATGAGAAAAGGTATTTAGTAGTTTATATTTACTACAATAATTGCATTTTGTGTGTACATCCATGTTGTGTGTACTGTGGGAGACCAGATATAGTGAATGCAGAGTCCGGGGAGAGCGGATATAGTGAATGCAGGGTCCAGGGAGACCGGATATAGTGAATGCAGGGTCCAGGGAGACCGGATATAGTGAATGTAGGGTCCACGGAGACAAGATATAGTGAATGCAGGATCCGGGGAGACCGGATATAGTGAATGCAGGATCCGGGGAGACCGGATATAGTGAATGCAGGGTCCGGGGGAGACCAGATATAGTGAATGCAGGGATCCGGGGAGACCAGATATAGTGAATGCAGGGTCCGGGGAGACCAGATATAGTGAATGCAGGGTCCGGGGAGACCAGATATAGTTAATGCAGGGTCCAGGGATACAGATATAGTGAATGCAGGGTCCGGGGAGAGCGGATATAGTCAATGCAGGGTCCGGGGTGACCAGATATAGTGAATGCAGGGTCCAGGGAGACCAGATATAGTTAATGTAGGGTCCGGGGAGACAGATATAGTGAATGCAGGGTCCAGGGAGACCAGATATAGTTAATGCAGGGTCCAGGGAGACAGATATAGTGAATGCAGGGTCCAGGGAGACCAGGTATAGTTAATGCAGGGTCCAGGGAGACAGATATAGTGAATGCAGGGTCCGGGGAGACCAGATATAGTGAATGCAGAGTCCGGGGAGACCAGATATAGTGAATGCAGGGTCCGGGGAGAGCAGATATATAGTGAATGCGGGGTCCGGGAAGAGCGGATATAGTGAATGCGGGGTCCGGGGGAGCGGATATAGTGAATGCAGGGTCGGGGGAGACCGGATATAGTGAATGCAGGGTCCGGGGAGACCAGATATAGTGAATGCAGGGTCCGGGGAGAGGGAGAGCGGATATAGTGAATGCAGGGACCGGGGAGACCAGATATAGTGAATGCAGGGTCCGGGGAGAGCGGATATAGTGAATGCAGGGTCCGGGGAGACCAGATCTAGCGAATGCAGGGTCCTGGGTTTAGTAACACTTTAAATGAACAAGCTAAAGTTAGAAGCTGATTACTTTCTATTCAGAACTGCACAAGATTTTGCACCTTCCAGGTTTAAAAAATTTCCCCCAATGACAATACCTCAGTCACACACCTATAACATATATGTAACACCTATAAAATACTGTATGTGTAGTATAATACATAGATCACATTCACCAATTCCTCTTTTATCTTAACACCTCTTTTTATTTTTCTCAACAGGCCAAGTTGTCCAAGAGTGACAGCAGTGCTACACCCCAGTCGCACTGCTATGCAACTTGCAAATTATATGCCAAATTGCACCCTATTAGAGCAGTCATATCTGTGCGGTTCCGACTTGGTTGGAGCCACACCGATTTCTAAAGTAGTACATGTAGTACTTTTTGTGCAATTTGCATAGATATCTGTGTCAGATGTCTTACAAATTGCACCTGAAATCGGTATCTCACCCGACTTTGAAATCGTGTACTTTGAAACTTCAGTGTAAGTCGCACAATTTCAAAGTCGGGCTTGATGTGACGGGGGGGTAAATTAACTAGGACACAGCCAGGGGTTCTGAGCAGTTGCAGTGACAGTTTTCTTTTTTTTTTGAACCAGGTAAATAAATAGACGCCCTTCCTTCCTTTTATAATGATTCCGTTATATATGAATGCCAACTGCCAAAAGTGTTTAAGCCGCTCAGAACTTCATGATTCTATTGTTTGTTTTCCAACCCTGCACTGCTGCTATCAGGAACACAGAATTAGGTCGATGAGGGTTTATGAGCTTTCTGTTTTTTTATAGCATTGCCTGACTATTAGTGATGTTAGGACATTCTTAAGGACTGGTCAGAGAAGAGCTGGAATTCTCATGATCTAGAGATAAAGAAAATGCATGGAAACTGCTAACTGCCAATATGTTATATTTGTAATCACTTACCTAGGGTTAGCAATGATATATTTTCAGTTATTATTATTATTATACAGTATTTATAAAGCGCCAATAGTTCGCTCAGCGCTGTACATTACAAAGGGGGACAGAACATGTGACAGAACAATACCAATACAATGCAAAACATGAGGGGATTGAGGGCCCTGCTCTTTCGAGCTTACAATCTAGGAGGGAGGGGATGGTGGCACAGGAGGAGATAGCTGTGGTGGATGGAGTGGTAGGAAGAGTGGAGGAGGTCGGCAAGTTAGCAGGGGGTGGGGTAGGCTTCCCTGAAGAGATGGGTTTTCAGGGTGCGCCTAAAGGAGAGGAGAGTAGGTGATAATCTGATGGGTTGGGGCAGGGAGTTCCAGAGGATGGGTGACACCCTGGAGAAGTCCTGGAGGCGGGCATGGGAGGAGGAGACCAGGGAACTAGAGAAGGAGGTCTTGTGAGGAGCAGAGTGTGCGTGCTGGGTTTACTGATACGTATATCTCTGAAAAATGTATGACAGATGCCATGTCTATGACGGCTGCCATGACAGAGTACGGTGACCGAGAACTCCACTCTATAACTTGTGATGACACTGCAATGCATTTCCTAACACCGGGCGAGCAGGTTCAAGGTGACCTATACACAAAGAGCCAGCTTACAAACAGGACACCTAAACTGGTAAAACCCAGGATGTTACAGTGCTAAAGTAGACATGAACCCCAGATGGATGACGTTTTGTTTGCCGAAGTACTATGAGCCATAAACAATTGCCATTTTTAAATAAAATACAATTTTCACCTTGTTTTCGTCATTTGCTGCATCTCAGTTCTGCCAAACTCCTGCAGTCACTTCCTGTCTATGTGCATGTGCTCCAGCAACTGCTGCATGTCATTTTCAGAAACTTTACTTGGATTTTGAAAGAATTAAACATTTTAAGAAATAAACACTTACTAGACCATGGAATCCAGCACTGTCTTTCTTTTTGATGATTCTTCACCTTTGCAGCACCACCATCTTGGACATGGAAACTGGCAGTGACTTTCTGAAGCTGACATAATTCTCGTCTAGGCGTGAACTGAAAAAGTGGGAGTGGGTACCTGTCCCCAAAAAGGGACCCATTGCCAGAGAGAAAAAATAGCACCAAATTTGAGAGGGAGGAAGGTACTTTTTTAACCACTTCGCGCCGGCACCTCCCAGACCTTTAACAGTTTCAGAAGCCAGGACGCGGGCAGGGTTTTAGGGGCATGTGACCGCCGTGATTCGCCGTCATGGCGGTCACATGATCGGAAAAGGTCCAGATCGAAAGGGGAGATCGGGACCTTTCCGTAAGTCACGGACAAATGTGCTGGGACTGCGTGCTCTCAGCACATATGTATTTTCTTATTGCATGCAAATATGCGGCTGCTGGGCGTCAAGGCCCAGATGCCAAAAGGCTGCATATTTGCGTGCACTCGGCGTCAAGCGGTTAAAGGAGTACAGCCAAAGCTCATTTGGCTGCACTTCTCCTTTGAATCAGTTTGTCCTTCACTCCTGCTCCCTGTTTTCAGCCGACAGTGGGATAAAGTCCGCTGTTGGCTGACGTCACTCAGCGAGTCCAGGCTGGGGATAGATCCTGACTTCAAAGTCGATATCCAGCCAAGAGCTTGGACCGGTACCTGAGCCACTGAGAGCCTGAGCCAGCCCTTCCTGCCCCATTCACAGAGCTCCAGTGAGCACTGAGGGGAAGCAGAGCAGAGAGCTGGTACCTGCCAGTCCCAGCTGTCTGCTCAGAGCAGAGGGGAGAACTGAGTGATCAGTGGTGTTTGATCACTCAGTTTTCAGCTGTAGAGCTGGTGGAGGACGGATGCAGCATTGGATTGATGCTGCATCCACCTAGGGAAGTATGATAAAAAGAAATATCCAATACTTCACTTTTAAGCGAAGGTGTACATTACACTGGCCATGCACTGTATGAATTTCATTAGGAATTGGCCAAAATTCACTTCATTGGTGGCCATGTCAGCCCCTATCCATCTGACATCCTTTGGTAAACCAAAGCTGCTGGGCAGAAATTTTTGGCCATTGAGATGCAACCACTGTTCAGGAATTTTAACACATTTGTCTAAATGCAATAACTGCAACGAGAGGAATCTGTTCAATTTTTTTATTCGGCCCACAAACCGGAGCAAATAAGTCTGTATGTGTATGGCCAACTTTTGGGTGAGTTTCCAGAACAGTGGATAATGCCTGTGCAGTGTGAGTCAGCATAGTCCATGGCTTAGGCTCCATCAGAAGCCCACATGACAGCACAGGAGAAAGGAACAGAGTGTTGTCACCCTAGCAGGATCATTAGGTATTAATTTAAAGCTAAAGTCCAAATATGACCTTTATTGCATTGTTACTTTAGTCCAGCTTGGAACAATGTAAGTGTGCACAATTCTTACCTGGAAGCTGACAATCACTGTAGTAGTCTTGACTGCTGCAGTGATAGCCCCAATCTTCTCTGTCCTATGCCGAGTGGCTGTCCTGTATAGTGACCATAAGGGTATTTAAAAAAAATTAGGTGTTTTATGAATGGCAGTGGTGCCAAGCGAGCAACCTCCTGTGGTCACTATGGAGAAGGAAAATCACTCAGCAAGGGACCCAGACAATTGGGGTAATCATTATAGTAGCAGTGACTACTACAGTGATTGTCAGCTTTTATAGTAGTCCTTCAGGTGTGAGATATGCATAGTTACACTGGTCCAAGCTGGACCAATGTAAGCATTCAATAAAGATCATGCCTAGGCTTCAGCTCTAATCAAGCTAAAGATTTAAAAAATATTATAAAAATCTTTTAAAATTACATTAAAATGTTCAAGAGATTTTAGTGATTGGGTTTACATATACTTTCATTGAGGAGGTTCACTTTTCACACACAGTACATGCAGATGTATTTAAAAGCAGATCTACACTGTATGAAAGAGAACCAGTCATGTCTGGGGTAATGCAAAAAGGTCAGAGGTTACCTGAAGTATGACAGGTGCTGCTCTACTAACTGCCTGACCACATGCTGGTAATACACACTGATGCAGCTCTGCACAGAAACCAATCAGCTTCCAGGTTTTATTGTCAAAGCTTAACTGAACAAGCTGAAGCTAGAAGCTGATTGGCTCCCATGCACAGCTGCACCAGATTTTGCACTCTGCAGTTTTAGTAAATCTCGCCCACTGTCTCCAGAGTGTGAATAACAGTATCACATAACAGAGGACTGTAGTTTATACTCTCTGTGGGAAATCTTTGTTACTGGATACTTAAGCCTGTCATACACAGCTTGAATCTCAGCATGCACTGGCTGAAATTCGATTCTCGGATGGCAGGTCCCACTGTCAGAATAGAATAGTCAGCAGGGGAGATCCATCCATCTACACTGTTTAGCATAGATAAAGGTATCTGTTAGATTTCTTTCATTCAGCCCACACCTTTGCTAAAGAAATTCATACATGTGTGGCCAGTGAGTTCTCAATAAAAGAAATTAAATGGCAACACTGTGTTCTGAGTTTCTAGAATACCTCTCAGGGGACAGCAAGAGGAAGGATAAACATGTTACATGGGAATAGCCGGAGCTGTGCATGATAATAAAGTAGCTAAATCATATTTAAAATGCACTTTTTTCAATAAATACCAATCTATTGTAACCTTGTAATCAACATATTAAAAAACTACATTTGTGTAATTAGCAATTTATTGCATTATTTTTATATCTCTTATAATCTGAGTATACTATACAGTCACAGACATTGCTGTCAACCGATTGGAGGTATATAGGAACATAACATGATACTTTGGCCTTTATGACTGCTGGAAATGAGATGGGCCTCTTTCAGGACTAACATTGAAAAATATGGGCCAAGGAAAATAATGTGATTGTATGAATATATATATATATATATATACTATTTATATATACACACCAGGTGCTGGCATGCACATCCTGCTATACCAGACTGTAGCTGGGTTCAAACGTAGTAAGTGAGCTGTGATGCACAGAGAACCGAGTGCCTTGTGAATCTGTTAAACAGGACAAAGTGTACAGACACCATCAGTCAATGCAGACATGAATCAGCATTAAGAAAAATAGTCACGGTTTGGAATATATTAAGTGCAACACTTTACCAAAATAAATTAAATGTGGATAACTTTATATATGTACAACTGGATATGACCCATTGCATCAAAGATAAAGTGAACCTGTTTATTTCTCAAGACATTCAGGAGCTTCAAAAAAACAACCACCAAAACTCCGCTTAAACTGGAGAATCGGAATGGCTGCTAAATGACCAACCAGGGGCGGACTGACCATTTGGAAACTCGGACACTGCCCGAGCGCCCGGGGTCAGCAGGGGGCCCTATGAGATGCCCCTGGTACCTTTTTCATAGACTTTTTTGAGTTTGGGCAAGGACACAGGGGCCCCTTGATCCCCTATTGCCCGGGGGCTCCATGAGTTGTCAGTCCGCCCCTGTGACCAACTTTGTGAGATAATTCTTCCCTTGGACACCCACTTTGCCCAGCCCAACCCCGAGTACTAGTGCCAACTCTAGGCACTGAGAATAGTTTTCTAAAGGAAAACATGTTGCTTGTAGTAACAGGTATTTTAGGGCATTCACCCTCTGTGTTACAATAATTGGAACAGATTTAAATAAAAAGAGAGCAAAGAAAAATGTGTACTTCATCACAGCCAGTAAGAGTCCATGGTTTACATGCTGTAAGTCATAAAATGAAATACAGATGATATCGTAGTTTCACCGTTGCTCTGGTTGTAGTAAATGAGTCTTTGTATATGGTGGGATTGTGGTAAACCATACGTATAGAAGTGCTATTTCTCATGTGACTCTCAGTGTCTTTGTATATACACATCTCTAGATTCATCTTTATATAATGGAATGCCATCACTCATGCTGGTCTTTCTCGTTCAAGTTCTTTACCGGCTACATTATCATCTTGGGAGATGTCTCTCTCTGTTGGGTGGTCCTTCTTCCTTTTCCTCAAACATTTCTTAGAGGCTATGAAAACAGAGGAGGGTAATATGTAAAGGCTCGGGGGACAGCTGGTGCGGGCCAGGAGTACCACAGAAACTGCTCTCAGATGCAGAGATGATAAAATTACAAAATACACCCCATAATATGTAATGGAAAGCTCAGTAGAATTGCTTGCAAAATAAGTTTTCACTGGTGAATTTTCTTTCTTTTAATGGAAGATCTGTGGGCTGTCATTGCTGATCTTCTGAAATTGCTATCTGCCTGTCCTGTTATGCTGCTCCTATAGCTTTAATACTTTCATAGTTACTGTCTGACTTGGACAAGTAGTATCAGTTCATAAGGAAATATCAACACCATGCTGCGTCTGACAGCTAGCTTCACCAGATTTGCAGTGAAATTTGTTGATGTTACTACTGATGCTCACTGTTCTGCTTGCTGTGAAGGAAGCTGTACCTGAGGACCTGCAGGCAAGAATTTCCCTGCTTCATTCACTGTGTGCATCTGTGCATCCTTCACCAATCCTGCTGCCTCCGATTGCTAGCTTCACCAGATTTGGAGTGAAATTTGGTGATGTTACTATTACTGCTCACTGTTCTGCTTGCTGGGGTGGGGAGGGTGGTTGGGAAGCTGTACCTGAGTACCCAGAGACAAGCATCTACCTGCTTCTGCTGCATTCACTTTTTGGATCTGTGTTTCCTCCACCAATCCTGCTGCCTCTTACCTATAGCTTCATCAGATTTGGAGTGAAATTTGGTGATGTTGCTACTGTTTCTCACTATTCTCCTTGCTGGAGAGGAAGCTGTACCCAAAGACCTGCAATGCTACGATCTCTCAACTTTTGCTTTGTTCACTTTTTGGTTCTGTGCTTCCTCCACTAATTTAGCTGCCTCTGACTGCTAATGTCAGGATCACCTGCTGATGGTACTGTGCTTCCCAGGGCAGAAGGTTGTAGTTCCAGTGTCCACCAGTGGGTGTCTCCCAGCAGCCATCAGATCACAGTAATCAGTTTCCAACTGATGATGGCTGCTGGCAGGGTATTTAAGTCCTTCCCTATTAGTGCCTCTTGCTCCAGTGTTTTGCCACTGCCAGATCCTGTTGCCATTTATCCTGATTCTGCCCTGTATGTTGTGCCCAGTACCTTGCTGCCATGTAAATGCTCTTCGGGGTTCCTTTTCCCAGTTTTGATTCCCCCTTCCCATCTGCTCCCTGCTCCTTCAGTTTTCCCTGCTTTCTGTGTTCCCCATTTTGTATATATTGTTGTATATATGTAGTTATTAGTTTGGCTGTTGTTAGTTATTGGTATTCTGTCACTGTGTTTGTGGTTCACTTAAATGTTTGCTGTGTGCTGATGTTTGGATGGATTTAGTTCTATTGTAATTAAATGTAAAGCATACACAGCATGGTCACAGTTTCTGGAGTATAGCCACACATATCTGACCATCTCTGCTGCTGATTTCTGAAAGCTAGCTTCACCAGATCTACAGTGAACTTTGGTGATGTTACTACTGCTTCTCACTGTTCTCCATAAAAGAGAGGAAGCTGTGTAGCTCATGTATCTATCTGTGTAGCTCATGTATCTATCTATCTGTGTAGCTCAGTACATGGTTTCCCTCAGTATACTGGCTGCTAAGGGTTACACCTCTGCTGTGGCTTTTTGAAAGATCCACTATACCTACCTTGAGACAGCCTCTTCTTCCACGGCTGTGATTCCTTTCACTAGCATAATTGTCTCTGGATGTGTCTGCTTGGGAATGCTGGGATCTTTCCATCTCCCCCTGTAAAACATAATTTAGAAAGGGTATAAGAATTCCAGTGAATTTCAGCATATTTTTCCAGCTGAAGGATGGAAGGGCATTTTCTCCTAGATTGTAAGCTCTAACGAGCAGGGCCCTCTGTTTCCTCTTGTACCAAATTGTATTGTAACTGTAATGTCTGCCTTCATTTTGTAAAGTGCTGAGCAAACTGTTGGCACCATATAAATCCTGTATAATAATAATAATAATATATAAATCCTGTATAATAATAATAATAACAATAATAACTTAGAGCTGCCAAGATATGCTGAGCCTTGCAGTTCCTTGATATCATGAGGGCCAAAGTCTCATTCACTACATGGAGCCTTTTTAGAATAGATGCATAGTTGGGAATCTACATGAAACAGAGTAACACCTTTGTTATGGCTCTGTGGGAGGGGCAGAGATTCCCCCCCCCCTCCATTATTTAAGCAAACTCCCATCTGGCACCAGCAGTGCCAATCCATGACTTAAACATCAGATCTGGGTGGAGTAAGCCTTTAAATCATTTTCTTTTCAGTGCACTATAATACAGAGTTACTCTAGGCCTCAAAATCTGCAAGGTGGCAGGTGCCCCGAGGTCAGCTACAGATACAAGTCTGACCCACATAGTACAATCCCTTAGTACTGGGCATTCCTCACATGTGTGTAGACATCAAAAATACCCGAGAATGGGTGCCACCATCTTGGTTGTGATGTCAGCAGACTCAGAGCTGTCCTTCAAGTGACACATTATAGTATCATCTTTGCTCCTCCCCCATCAGTTATGTAGGGAGGTGAGGGGGTGACAGAGGAGCTAGGCAATGTTGTATTTAGACTTTGTACCCAAGAATACCCAAAAATTGGTGCCCCCCCCACACAGAAAGAGCCTGATATCGACCAAGAACACCCCTGCCCTCCACCCCAGCCTTCCATTACCACTGCCCCCCATACACCATACACCATCCCCCATGGCGAGAGAGAGAAAGACACTCACTTTCACAGCTCTGGATATCCCCAGGAATGAGACTTGGGCTGTGCATACACCGTCATGAAACCCGCAGCCTCTCTCGGTCCTCATGCCTCGTGTGTCCCTTCTTCTGTCCCTTCTTCCAATGGGCAGTGCTGCCCCCCCTGAAAAATGCCGCCCTAGGCAAATGCCTTGTTTGCCTTGTGGTAAATATCCCCTTGGAGCTAAGTCAGTATAAACAGCAATTAGACACTCCCAGAAGGTGTGTGTGGGGGGAGAGGAGGGGGGTTGGTTGTAATAGGATATTGACATGTTTTTATAGGAAAACTACATACGTCACTATCAGATGTATCTAAATCTTCATCCATGTCCTGATGTGATGAATTCCCATCTGTTGCTTGTCCTTCCTCCTCCTCATCTGTTGGTACAGGACAGACATGTTATACAGTCCAGCTCTAATTGATATTATCTACGGTATACATGTACAATACACGTGGCTACTATGTGTTGGAAGAACACAGGATTAAAGCAAACCTGAGGACTGCCACTGTTGACTTCTCATGATGGATTTTCTTTAAAGAGGCAATGTCACTTTACCCATTCAGATCAAAGTGGCAGTGTCTGTGTCAATTCCCGGCCCCTTGACCCTTACCTGTGCAGCAATTTTTCCTTAAGCTGATGCAAAATATTCTATACTGCCAGGAATGGGGGAGCAGGTGACCTCCTCCTATGACGTAATCAGAGCTGCTATTAGAAACCATGGGGCCCCATACAGCAAACCTGACAGGGCCCTCCCCACCCCCAAAAAAAAAAAAAAAATTACTATGCTTCAGTTATGAATGAACACTTTGAGTAATCGGTACCAATCACTTGTTGTGTTCATCATCCTGAAGGATCCTATTGTGTGCTTGCAGTTACTGGTGGGAAGGAGAGGAGGGAACCAAGGAGCACTGCGGGGGTGGGCACACACAGAGGGGCCTGGACAACAATGTATGGTGCACAGGGAGGTTGATGGGTGTGGCAAGGGGGCAGTTACTGGAACTGATCCCTGTATGGCTCTCTCTGCAGCAGCTGAAAGCCAGAGGGAGGGAGAGGAGAAAACGCCAGTCTTCAGCTGCTGCAGAGAGAACCATATGGGGGATCGGTTCTAGTAATTGCCCCCCCCCCCAACATGCTAATCACCCTCCCTACGCACATCCGATGTACCCAGCTGCCTGGCCCCATACAGTAGGACTGGTGGTACCCCCTTATCCACGGCCCTTAATGTAATCCTCAGGCCTATCAGCCAATCGTTTGGGGTTGTGCTGCACTGAAATCCAAAATAATCTAAGAAGCCCTACTTGGTTCTCTTCTGTGAACTACAGAAAACCTCCCTTCTATGTAATGAAGATGGAGAGATAGAGGTGTTCTGTCATCCAAACATACTTCCCATCCTAGGTTGACAGCACTCTTCTTCTATAGCTATATTACGGAGTGTTGTCGCACTAGGTCATCAGGATTACATAGTTACAGTACATAGTTCGTCTGGCTGAAAAAAGACAAAAGTGCATCCAGTTCAACCATTAAAAAAAAAAATTGTTACTGGAAGGATCACCAGATGAAAATAAAGTTTATAAAAAGCAGGTAACTATGCAACCACCACATCCAAGGACTGTTAAGCTGCACTATATTGCATTTTTGTTCTGGAGTGTAGATATGCTTTAAGCAACTATGTTTGCCCAAGGTGAATTAAGTATTACTAATCGTGTAATTGTTTTTGTTCTTTCACATATCAATTTCACAACTTCATAAGTGTAGTAAGTGTCAAAACAATATGGGGACAAATGTTGAAAGAACGGAATTTAAAAAGTATCAGACTAATGAATGGAATCGGCCAACCCAACCTTTAAACAGGCATTCAGAAATAAGCTGCATTACAGAATGAAAAACAAGAAAGAAAATGCAGCAAAATAACATCTTTAGGCCTTTAAATAGGCCCCTAGGGGTGACAGAACTCTTTATGACTGATCTTGGGGGGCAGCAAATGAAAGGGTTAAGGGAAAAGGTTATTAGTGAACCAACTTCATGTGCATATATATAATAAAGGAGTAATGAACGGTAACGTAGTGTATTCAATGTAATATACTGTCTGTAGCTATGCAGTACATGAACGAATGCAGCTACAGTAATGTAATACATGGAATATAATATCATGTGATATATGCAGCTATGTAGTACATGAACGAATGCAGCTACAGTAATGTGATACGTGGAATATAATATCATGTGATATATGTAGCCAGGGGCGGACTGACCATTTGGGAACTCAGGCACTGCCCGAGGGCCCGTGGTCAGTAGGGGGCCCCATGAGATGCCCCTGGTACCTTTCATAGGCTTTTTTGGGTGTGGTTTGAGTGTGGGCGAGGACACAGGGGCCACATGATCCCCTATTGCCCGGGGCCCAATGATTTGTCAGTCCGCCCGTGTATGTAGCTATGTAGTACATGAACGAATGCAGCTACAGTAATGTAATACATGGAATATAATATCATGTGATATATGCAGCTATGTAGTACATGAACGAATGCAGCTACAGTAATGTGATACGTGGAATATAATATCATGTGATATATGTAGCCAGGGGCGGACTGGCCATTTGGGAACTCAGGCACTGCCTGAGGGCCCGGGGTCAGTAGGGGGCCCCATGAGATGCCCCTGGTACCTTTCATAGGCTTTTTTGGGTGCGGTTTGAGTGTGGGCGAGGACACAGGGGCCACATGATCCCCTATGGCCCCATGATTTGTCAGTCCGCCCGTGTATGTAGCTATGTAGTACATGAACGAATGCAGCTACAGTAATGTAATACATGGAATATAATATCATGTGATATATGTAGCTATGCAGTACATGAACGAATGCAGCTACAGTAATGTAATGCACAGGGGCGGACTGACCATTTGGAAACTCGGGCACTGCCCGAGGGCCCGGGGTCAGTAGGGGGCCCCATGAGATGACCCTGGTACCTTTTTCATAGGCTTTTTTGAGTTTGGGCAAAGACACAGGGGCCCCATGATCCCCTATTGCACGGGGGCCCCATGAGTTGTCAGTCCGCCCCTGGTAATACATGGAATATAATATCATGTGATATATGTAGGTATGTAGTACATGAACGAATGCAGCTACAGTAATGTAATACATGGAATATAATATCATGTGATATATGTAGCTATGTAGTACATTAATTAAAGTAGCAACAGTAATGCACTGATCTCTGGACAGCATGTCTTATCTGTATTGGACTGCCCAAATGGCACATCTGACAATTGGAAGATCAAATGTGTACAGTGGATTGTTCACAAGACTTGGGATGTTCGGGGTTTTCTTCAAAGGAAGCTATAGATTTTTTCTATGCTCCTAGAATGCTGAGAAGCACAGAGATACTTTTCATTTACTTTCAGAACAGTTGTATGCGGTCTTCCTTTATTCACCTGATTCCCGATGTCTCTTGTTCCCCTTTCCTGGTCTTTTGATGATAGGAAACTCTCTGGTCATCTCTGTTCCCACGTTGTGTTCCTGAAAGAGGAGAACTATGAGTGAGAATTGGAATAATTTGTATAGGTTGTGCCTAGACTTTCCCAAGACTCCTGATGATGAAGGTTAAAAAGAATGCCTGAGGAATGCCCTTAACCCACCTGGTAAAGCGACACATCTGTACAATGTATACAATCTACTACAGCAAAACTGACATTTGCAAATCAAAACTTGCAGTTTAAATTGCTGGCAAACGAAGGCTTCAGATGCTTTACCATCTGTTTGCTACACTAAATAATATAAAAAATGGTGTGGGGTTCCTCCTGCATGCTTAGATAAGAGTCTAGTGTGCATTTCTGGGGAGGGTGCCATGTTTTTTTTTCTTGATTTTTGCATGGGGTTCCACACCAGACCCAAAAGGATGTACAAAGAAGGAAGGAGGGTAAGACTCTCAAACTGAGACACAGATGTTGTTGGTGAGAAAACCCTGCTTCCCTGTTCTGTTTAAACCTAAAACGAATCCACTTCATACATAATAAATACACTGGGGGTTATTTACTAAAACTATATGGTGCAAAATCTGGTGCAACTGTGCGGAGAAATCAGTAATTTTCCAGGTTTTGTTGTCAAAGCTTAACTGAACAAGCTGAAGTTAGAAGCTGATTGGCTACCATGCACAGCTGCACCAGATTCTGAGTCAGGGCCGCCATCGGGGGGGGACACACATGTAGGGGGCCCAGGCATCCCCAGGTTTCCGGGGCCCAAGTTGCCACCTCCCACTGACTACTGCTGTCCAAATTATCATGTGCATTTACAGGCCCAGGCAGAGGAGGAGGTCGTCATTTCCTTCTCCCTGCTCCACAGCATACTAGTGCTCCGTCTCCTGGTTTCTGCCTTCTGTCCTGGTGCTGAGAACAGGACTGGGACACAGGTGAGGGGGACAGTCAGAGCGTCAACCTAGTGAGGGAGATCGGGCTATGGCTTCTGTATGTTGATGCTCCCCCAATACAGTGCTCTCATATAGAGACGATCTGATACATGGTACATAGTGGGTACTCCCACAATAGAACAGTCTTTATTTACAGGCAAGAGAGAATGTCACAAGCACACCAAGGATCACCAATATGGGTCCAAAGGTTTTAATGAACGATCACGTAACCTGATGAAGGGGTCCTGTGAGACTCTGAAATGTTGCCTTGCTGTAACTATGTGAGCGTTCATTAAACTTTTGGATCCATAATGGTGATCCTTGGTGTGCTGGTGACATTCCCCCCTTGCTGATTCTGTTCAGTTCCAGCCGACGGTCGCTGCAGCACACACTTGTACACACAGGCATTTTTAACACAGGAACGTGTGCCTGTGTATTGTACATTTTTATTTACAGGCAGTCTGGTGTATTTTGGTGTTCCCACAATACAGGGCTCTCTATACACAGGTGGTCTGGTGTGTGTTGGTGACTCTTTGCTTTATGGGGATGTCTGTTTGCTGGATTGGAATGTCTCTTTGATATATGGGATATCTCTTTGCTGAATATATGGGGATGTCTCTTTGTTGGATTGGGATGTCTCTTTGCTGAATATATGGGGATGTCTCTTTTGCTGGATTGGGATGTCTCTTTCCTATATGGGGATGTCTCTTTGCTGAATATATGGGGATGTCTTCGCCAGATTGGGCCATCTCTTTACTGGATTGGGCTGTCCCTGCTGAATATATAAGAATATCTCTTTGCCAGATTGGGATGTCTCTTTGCTATATGGGGATGTCTCTGCGGGATTTGGATGTCTCTTTGCTGGATTGGGATGTCTCTTTACTGAATATATGAGATTTAAAGCTGTGTAAGGGGCCTCAAATTTTCTGATGGCTGCCCTGTTCTGAGTGCTCTGGTTTTAGTAAATCGACCCCAATGTCACCTGCTTATTTAAGGTATAGTGACATTGTCTGCTGATAGCCCACCCAATAAATTACACTCCACACTCCCTTACCACCTCCCTGTTTGTTGGAATCCTTGATTTATAACCAGAGCGAGGCTTATAGATATAGGGTATTTGACATCCCGCATGTGACAGTGCTCCAGCCTGAGTGGCCTTTATCCAGGCCCAGACACTGTCATGTGGGGAGAGACATTTGGGAGGTGACGAGGGAGCATAGATGGGTGAATATAATTTGCTGTGGAGTGGGGTAATGGTTAGGCTATCAACAGATACTGTCAATTTGCTCTCTAATGGGGAAATGACAGTGTCCCTTTTTTATTTTTATTTTTGACAGAGTAACATTATTACTATCCAAATTTACACTATGTTTTACTGACATCAGTTTTCCTTAAATATATAAGTTGTATATCACAAGACATACCCCACTGCTCTCTAAATGTAAGTTCCATTTCACAGACTGACATCATCAGTATCCAAATATAAAGTTATCATTGGATAATGATTAACCTCCAATGTAAATTCTGCTTTACCGAAGTTATGGTTTACAGGATTGACAACATTACTCTTAAAATATCATTTTATCCAGAATGAACATTACTACTTTCCAAATAAAAGTTACATTTTTATAGTAAATGCAATAAAATTGAAGACATACTTCCTACCCCTTCATATTTTTCATCCATTCAATGACTACTGAAACTTATTGCACCGACTCCCTAGATATACTGTCTTAGTTCTCATTGCAATGTCTTGAACCCCATGTTGCTGTTTTGCTCTATATCGCCTTGATGTATGTTGAAAATATCAATAAAAATGAATCAATGATAAAGGTTACATTTTATGGTTGTACTCACCATCAGGTTTTCCTCTGAGATTCTCTCTTGTTCACTTTTAGCCACTGACATGAAATCAGAAACTGATGCCCTGTTTGGAGGTGAATCATTATTTCTGAAAGACAGATTTGCCATATGGATTTCATGATGGCCCTTTGGTTCTCTCTTGATGTCACTCTGAGCACTGTGATAACCTCTCCTGGCATCAGACAGGTCAAGTGGCTTATCTGGTGTAACATCTTCTTCAGTATGGATTTTCTTCTCTGGCTCTGCACACTTTTCCTCTTTATGGGACCAATCTTTCTCCTCCTCTTGGCTATCTTGACATCTGTTGTTCTTCCAATGGGTGCTTAAGACTTGTATCAGCGACAGCTCCTTCTCGGTAGGGCTTTCCCTCATTAGATATTTGGGCACGTCCGTTGGTGAACTGGGTGATCTGAGTCCTTGGTTCTGCTTGGCTATTACATATTGAAGCTTTTCTCTTTGGTTGGTTAGGTTCATTTTGTTTTTGTATCCGTGTTCCCTCATGTATAACATGGCACCCTGTAACTCAGCCATTGCAGCTTTTTCTTCCCAGTCATCATCTGACCGCTTCCTCTCCATTGCCAGCTCACGATTCTTGGCCAATACGTACCGAACTGGCCCATCACTGGGAACGCCTTGACTGCGCTGTGCAAGGCGCTTCTGTACGAAGTGTTGCCGCAAAAGGTTCAGTTGTTCTTCGGGGATGACATGTTTCAGAGAATCCAGAGGGGAAAGGTGGTTCAGGCAAATCTGTTCGGCTTTCCTTAGGTTGTCTGCAAATTAGACTAGATCAGTAAGAATGAAATACATTTTCCTAATTACTCAATTACTCATAAACTCTCCTGATGTGTGTCAACATATAACTTGTCTTACTTGCTCCCTTTTGATTTAATAATTATGCCACTAAACACATTATTTTTCATTTATTACAGGTACTTATATAGCACTGTCAATTTACACATCACTTTACATGTATATTATACATTCATATCAGCCCCTGCCCTCAACAAGCTCACAATCTAAGGTCCCTAACTCACATTCATACTTACTAGGGCCAATTAACCTACAAGCAGTTCTTTGGGGTGTGAGGGGAAGCCAGTGTACCCACGCAGGCACAGGGTAAACATGCAAACTCCGTGCAGGCGGTACCATGGTTGGGATTCAAACCAACAACCCAAGTGCTGGTAAGTGGAAGTGCTAACCACTGTGCTAGCCCTTAATATGTTTGATAAGTGAAGATACCAGCTGATCCTGCCAGAAATCCAACACTGTCCTGTGTTCTGTGCACTCTGCAGTTATCAGTTAGTTATGCTCAGTCCTGCCTAATTTACCTCTGTGAACTACAGAACACCTCTTTCCTATGGAATGGAGATTTTATTTCTATGTTCTGTAGTCCTAACACACTTCCTGTCCCAGGGTGGTGTTGCCGCTTCTCATTAGATGTTTGGTGAGTAAATACAGTTTAGTGAGTAAATACAGTTTAGTGAGTAAATGTTGTCACCCTAAGGCTGGAAGTGTGTTACTGGTGCCTGGTGAAAATAAAAAAAAAAATGCAAAAAAGAAAACACATGGAGCCATCACATCTAAGTACTGGGAAACATAAATATATACATTGTTTCTCTTGGGTTTAACTTTAACTAAATATTACACAAGCCATTGCAGAGTCCAGAAGATTTTTAACAAGTCCTGTGCCAGGGTCTACCTCCTAACATTTATACTGGATAACTTGTTTCCTCTTAGAACCCGACTTTAAAGCTGGCCATAGATGATTTATTCAAAATTTTTCTTTAAGCTAGCGGACTGAACGAAAAAAAACAAAACAAACAGAATCCTCCATCCACAGGAGAGATGGATGGAGGAATCCT